AAAAATTACCAGAATCTGCTTCAATAAAGATTCATTATTTTAGAATAATTTAATTATTTTATAAATAGTCGATGTAATAAAGATTATTTATTTATTTGCTGTTATGTACAGGTTCCAAATCTGACCTACCCCCTTTTCTGACGACAGCGAATTTTTTTTCTTTAATGTGACACTTTTTTTATGTTTTTTATCTTGATTTTATTAGTCCTTCATATGTAAATAATTATATTTAAATCAACATGTCCATAATATCATGTAAGATGCCATCTTAACCCCCGATGCTGATGGTATTTTTTGACAATATGTTTTTTGGTAAGTTTTTTAGGGTATCCATGCTCTACAAGAATATTTGTATTTAGTTTGAAAAACTTGGGTCTTGGGACAATTTCGACGATCATATCTGAATGGCTCAATATTTTCAAAGGACAATAAAAACTTTGTAAAATATTAAGCAACAAAAGAAACGTCAGGTTGGTATGTTATTCTGAATAGACGCATTGCATAAAACTTGCCAAATGTTTTTATTGTATATTTGTGACGACATCTCCAACTTTACCTGGGCAAAAAGGCTCCTTCCCAAACACAGAATTGAACCCAGTAAATGTTCTCAAAAACGCAACCTGACTTCTGAGATGGTAATGTGTTCTCTATGATTTTTATGTAACTCATGCTGCACAGGCTTCAGCAACGCTTTTGGGCCACCAACAGCACGGATGATCGCCCCGGAACTGGTAGTCCAAGGGTTACCACAAGGCGACAAGACCACCATGTTGTGCGACAGCACGTGCAGAATCCCTTCACACGGGAATCTGAGACAGCGCGTCAGACAGTGGGAACACACGAAAGACCCATCAGTACCGATACTGTGCGCCGACGTCTCAACAGAGAGATCATCCAGTGCCGTAGACCTTACCGTGGGCCGATCCTCTCCCCTCGCCATCGATGTGAACGTCTACAGTTTGCCCAACAACACCAGAACTGGCGACAAAGGCAATGGAAAACTGTCGTTTGAGAGTTCACAAGGTTCTAAAAACTAAAACAAGGACCGTAACTCTGGAAGTAATCTACAGAAATTGTTGAAATTCGACAGGTTTTTTCGTTTTACTAATATCATACAGATTGGATGATAACTTTTGTCGTTCGAACGTTCACAAGGTTCAACAAAGTAAAACATAACTCACGGCCTAATTAACGGAAATTGCTGAAATTCAATAGGATTCTTCGTTTCACTAATTTAAATGAGGCATACCAATTTCAAACAGATCGGATGATAACTGTTGTCATTAGAGCGTTCACAAGATTGAACAAATTGAAACAAGGGCCATAACTCTAGATGTAATTAACGGAAATTGCTGAAATTCAATAGGATTCTTCGTTTCACTAATTTAATTGGTGCATATAAATTTCATACAGATCGGTCGATAACTTTAGCCGTTATAGCGTTCACAAAGTGCAACGAAGTGAAACAAGGGCCATAACTCCAGAAGAAATTAACGGAAGTTATTGAAATTACATAGGCTTCTTCATTTCACTAATGAAAACAACATATATCAATTTCAAAACAATCAGATAATAAATGTAGTCTGTAGAGTGTTCACAAGAAATTGTGGACGACGGACGGACGGCGGCAATATACGCCCACATTTCCATGTGGGCGTATAAAAATCACAAGCTAAACAAGCCAACAGTGAGGCTGATGACCCCCGCCGAAATCCCAAAATACATAAATGACACATATTAATTAATAGCACATTTATTTTTTTCAAACGTATCAAGCAATCAAACTGAATATCAACCATACACTAAGTTCATCACTCTCTATCAGATAGAATCAAAGTTATCTTGTCCCAAAGCATCGACCAATGAAATTGATTAGCTCTGCTTAGCTTTAGCTCGAAATGTTAATCATTGAACTCAGTCAAGGCATTCACCTAATGAACATCTACATCAAGTTTAAACATTCTAGCTCAATTGAAATCAGAGTTGTTATGTCTTGACCTCTAAATTAAATTATTTATCGCTCCTTAGCCTAAGCAGAAAATTCTCACCATCGAACTTAGTCAAGGTAATGATATAATGAATCGAACTTAGTCAAGATATTGGTGTAATGAAACTATATACCGGTTTCATCGCTCTCGCTTCATTATAACCAAAGTTATCGTGCCCCAAAGCATCAACCAATCAGATTGGTTATCTCTGCTTGCCCTAAACAGACAATGTTCATCAAGACATTCACCTAATAAACATCTACAACAAGTTTGAACATTCTGCCTCAATTAGAAGTAGATTTATTCTTTTCCAAAGTCTCGGCCAATCAAATTGTTTGTCGCTCTGCTTACCCTCAGCAGAAAATATTCATTATCGAACTTAGTCAAGGTATTGATGTAATAAAACTCTATACCAAGTGTCCTCACTCTCACTTAATAGAACTAAAGTCATCGTGTCTCAAAGCATCAACCAATCAAATTGCTTATCTCTGCTTACCCTAAGCCAGTGATTCTCAACCAGTGTGCCGGGGCACACAGGTTTGCCGCGAGATCTTCCTAAGTGTGCCGCGAAATTTTGAACGGCACACTAAGAAAATTTCTCACTAAAGAAGCCAGCTATTTGACTGATGAAATACAAAACACTACAATCAAATAAGTTCATAGCTGCGTTTTTTCTTTACTTAGTTTGAGTCATGCTTTGTGTCTATGACTAGTCTCTGTCTACGGTTGTATGCCGTCTATGACTTGCCATGTTTTTATTTTGAAAATTTCAAATATCTTTTATGTATATTTAGCCAGGTGTGCCGCCAATTTTTCAAGTGTTCCAAGGTGTGCCGTTGGCAAAAAAAGGTTGAGAACCACTGCCCTAAGCAGAAATCCTCATCTTCAAATTCCATCAAGGCATTGGCCAAATAAACACCTACGCCAAGTGTGAACATTCTAGCTCTATTAAAATGAGAGTTATTGTGTTCCAAAGTCTCCACCAATCAAATTGCTTATCCCTCTGCTTACCCTGAGCAGAAAGTTCTCATTATCATTATTAAGTTTCATCACTCTCACTTAATTAGAACTAAAGTTATCGTGTACCAAAGCACCAACCAATCAAATTGCTTATCTCTGCTTACCCTTAACAGAAAATGCTCATCTTCTAACTCCATTAAGACATTGACCATATAGACATTGACCATTTGACACCTACACTAAGTTTGGACATTCTAGCTCAATTATAATGAGAGTTATTGTGTTCGAAAGTATCGGCCAATCAATTGCTTATCGCTCTGCTTAGTCAAGGTATTGATGTAATGAAACTATGCACCAAGTTTCATCACTCTCACTTAATTAGAACTAAAGTTATCGTGTCCCAAAGCATCAACCAATCAAATTGCTGATCTCTGCTTACCCTGCTCATCTTCGAACTCCATCAAGGCATTGACCTAATAAACATCTACACCAGGTTTGAACATTCTAGCTTGATTAGAAAGAGAGTTACTGTGTCTCAAAAAGTGTGACGGACGGACGGACGGACAAACCCATTTTAATCCAGGAAGTTACGTTCAGATATGCGCGATTATCAACAGGAACCAAGATCTTTGGGCTAGAAACGTGTATTTCAAGTTTCATCAAAATTGTGACCTCTAGAAGGTCCACAACCTTGATATACGAGATGTTTACAATATTTGCGTACGGGGGGCGGTCATTTTGCCCGACAGTTTTTGTCCGATTTTCACTTTGTAACGGTGATACATTCGAATGGTTTATTTTTAAATCCGATAATAATTGTGACCTCTAGATGGACCACGAGGTACAAACGCGATTTTTCGTGCAATCACAGACCATAATTCAGGAAGCCTAGGCCCCTCGCTTAAAGTCCTAGTGTGGTACCCCCCCCCCCCACCAAATCCAGAATTGCTAACACCGGCCCTGGCCGCTGGCAACGGTCTTGGGATCTTGCAGGCATAAATAAGCTTCGCCACATCAAGCTTCTCTAAGGAGGTTGGCCAAACAGGAGGGATGAAGTTGTTTTGTGTCGCTCTCGCATAAGGCATACTTTTTTTAACACACATTTACATTTTAAAGCGAGAGCCTCAACCAAAATGTTAACAATGTCATGTCCCTTTGACAGTTAATCACATTTTCAATGAGTGCAAGAATCATGATGCAAAAAACGTTAAGTAATTTGGTTTTTCAAAATTGATTTTATTTAGATTTCAACTGTATGAGTATTAGATAAATTACCGATTGATTTTGTTTAAAAAAAAAAAAAGTGTGAGAACTATTTTCATTGATGTCATTGATATAAGGCGTGGATTTTATAGAGGGAGATAACTCTGACTGTTGACATGCGCATTGCCTGTTTTGGCCAGTGTATCCGGCTCCGGTCTGAATTTGTTTTAACAGTCTATAGATGACAGTTTCAGTTACGCGCCTTTAATAATGGATGAATTTTGGGATTTATTTTGGGAAGGGGCGCAACTCTTACTTACTGGATAATCAACCACATTTAAAAAAAAAACTCCCGGTTACGTATGGGCAATGGAAATTTTAAGCAAATGTTGACAACCGGCCCGGACCCTCCGTACGTTTCATGCTTGATTTGCCATTGATAATTAGTTGAAATAATATAGAATTGTCAAATTCTTGAAAGTTAAAATATAACGTATCATAACACTATTTCGTAAGATTCTCTGATTCATGAGAAATACACTGGTACCACTTTTATAAACCGGCAATATGATTTAATAGGCTAACTTTGTAAAATGGCCACGAACAACAGAGAGAAGCCATATGCACATCTCATCATCACAAGCGCTAGTAAAGTGGGGTATTATGTATAAATAAAGAAAAGTCTGGGTTTAATAACAACGCCATGACATTCTTTTAAAACAATATCATATCAAATTTTATATCAGGCGACCCCCACGTCTAATGATAATAAACACGGATACTGATACATTTTCTTTTCCCGCATCAATTGACAATCCTGGTTAACATGCTTGCATTGAATTAACTTACCGATTAAAACTACACATTCATCTCCATTTCCAAAGTTATATTCAGCTGCGTTAATGATGCGGTCTCCTAACGTCCCTCCTGATTGTTTCTTCCATGACAATGGAAGGCTAGTGCACCTTCTTTTTAACCAGTATTCGACTTGACACTGTTCTCCGCCATGATAATGAACACAAATACTGATATCTGTTCTTCCCTGGCATAATTTGGTCATTCTTGTTAACATGTGCTCCGTCTGCAATATATATATTTTTTTAAAATGTAATAATATATCTTGTCATGGAATCAATAGTAATAATAATAAGCCGACAGTAGGGCCCATGTTCCGCGCCTTAATCCCAAAACATATAGATATCTAATAAATGTTATCTAAATTATTAATTAGACATTAATTAACTTATCTAGACAATAATCAACTCTCGATACCATCGTTGGCCTGTGATAATTAGTGGATTTGAATACGTTTTGTGATGGATGATTTCACGTAAAAATTGATAATCTAGACTTCGTTTATTATCGTACCAATGGTAGTAATGACGACCGAGGCTAGCCTAAAATTGAATGGCTGATATCTTGGTTAAGAAATTTTCAGCATATTCTGTCTTTATTATCTTTTCTTAAAGATACATTATGTGAGATTAGATAAAGAGCTGGCAGTTCTCACTATAATAGTTAAAAAAATAGATAATTAAAACGGAATTTGCTGAAAGGTTCAGTCAAATTGATCCACTCTGAACCGAGAATTTAGCGATTGAATTTTAGGCCTAGCCTCGATCATCATTACTATAGTCAGTACGGTAAAAACACATATTCTCGATTATATATTTCATGATTAAATCATGAATGAAAGTTGGGTAGCAAATCGGATCCTAATCCAGTAAATATCGCCAGCTAGCGATGACATCGAGAGTTGATTATGGTCTGGATAATGTGTGTTTACGTATTATAAAGATTATCTAATATTTTTTAATGCCCCTTTAATTGTACATTTATCTTATTGTAAACCATCTAGCAATCAAACTGTTTATCAGTACTTAGCCTAAGCAGAAAATGCTCATGGTCGACCTCAATTAGAATCAAAGTTATCGTGTCACAAAACACCGACCAAATTGCTTAGCATTAGTGGACAATGCTACGTATCGAATACAACGATTCTGAACACTCTACCTTAATTACAAGCAGAGTTACTGTCTTCCAGGGCCTTGGTCAATCAAATTGCTTAACGCTACTTAGTTATTGTTTCCTAAAGTCTTTCTCAGTTAATTGCTAATGCACATCATCGAATTTAGTCAAGGCATTAATGTAATTTAAAGGAGCTAAATCGCTAATATTTGGGACCTAGAAATTCATACAAATAAATTTCAGTATATTCCCTTTACATTATCTACTTTTTAAACTATTATAGTGAGAACTGCCAGCTCTCTATCTAATCTTCCATAATGTATTTCTAAGCAGTTTTTGACATTCAAGATAGTGTATCTCCTTCATTACTTGGTAGGAATAAGGAACACGTCGATGCCTTCAAAGTGGCGTATTTAAAAAGCCTGGCGCACACTACGCGACGACATTGCCGATTTCGATCGCCGACGATGAAAAATCAAAAACTCGACTAGTGTGCGCAATCGGTCGCTAGCGATTTTTCTTCGCCAGCGAACATCGCGGCGATGGTCGCCAATATCAGACATGTTTGATATGATGGCCAAAGCCGTCGCATCATCGGCAATAAATCGTGTAATGTGCTCACCTCGGCGACAAGTTAAGCGACAATCAAGGAAATAAATTCACCTATTAAACCAATCATGTTTGGTTATTCCTCTCATGTGACATAACCACACACGAGGTTTCTCGGAATTTTTTCTGTTGCATGTATAAGTGGCTCGGGTAATGTAATTTAGGCCTCATTAACTAATTGAAATTAAGTTTTTCAATTACAATTCTGGCCCTTATTAAATGTGTGAGCTGTCGTATACATGGTATGCCCAGTGGTTTGTTCCGTTTGTATAGCAATATACTCAATAATAATATAGTCCTAGGATTCATAGATGGTAATTAGAATTGGCTTTTTTTTCAGCAATTTTAGCGAGAAAAGGGAGGGTGACAGTCAATCACTCTCCTGGGCTTATCGGTTGTCCCATCTTGGTTGTTTGTCTTGTAATGGGAGGATTAATCATATTTAGGAGACTCTGGAATATTTCTGGACACATCCTCACGTAGCCTCTTTTTTTATACATACCAGAGTCCCACAATATGAGATTGTTACTTGGAATACTATAAACGCACAACACTGGACAGGCGTTGTACTAAGACGGCGACGCCTGATCATCATGTATTCAATGCGATGACGATTAAAATGCATTTAGAGGTGTCACATGACGAAGCACGTGCTCACTACTTATGTTGCGGCGATATTTGTCGCCAAACTCGTCGCTTAAGTTGTTACGTAGTGTGCGCCAGGCTTAAGATTTTTTCTGACAGCTTCTGGAAATTACCGGGGCCTTCCGATTTTCTCGAACATGAAAAGCTCTCTCCATCTTAAAAATAGACTAAAAATGACATATGGTGATGTTAGCCCCAGATATTATCTTTCATTTTCAGAGACCTTGTTCCATAACATTTTCAGCCGTTTTGCCGCCATATTGAAGTTTACAAAAAACCCTTCAAATCGTTATTCAGCCGCAATTTTGATTCTGATTTTCGCAGACTTTTTTTCTTGTTTTGAAGCTAGTTCAGGTGGCAACAATTCTCGGGGAGCCGATTTTTCAATGGTTAAAGACTACTATCACGTGACTTTGTAGTTTAATGGTCATTAGCCTATACATATTAGATTACCTTGACCTATACCAACAATTAATATAAAAAAGTTCGGTCTTGAAGTATGACTTCCGGTTTTATTAAGAGTTTAAAATGGTAGGTTTTCCCACGTTAGTAGCTATTAGACGATACTATACTCAATAGTTCATAGTGTATCTAGAAAGTGGATGTAACCTGGCGTAGCATTCCGTGACAACACATGACATGGGGAGACATTGTCGATAGCGCATAATAAACAAATTCCGGTAGATATTATTAACGCAGGGGAGACAACTCCATTTTATAGAGTTGGTTCTGAGCGGAGTTGTTTCCCATGTATCATTATTTTGTTGAATATTTTTTGGCACTGGATAAAATCTCTACAATAATAAGAACTACCAAGGAACTGTATGGTGAACCCCTTCGATACTGTTCAGTGTATATGACTAGAACGTTTATCTAGTGAGTCAAGCTCAAAATTCCCTACCGAACAAACTGTATGAAGAGGGCAACCGGTCATATCGTAACGTGACGCGGGGACGTAGTTTTATATTTTATAGATGCCCAGCGATGTACGACTATCGATATGATATGACAGTAAAAATAATAAATCTAATAGGCCTACAGATCAAAGATATTGAAAATAAAACAGTTTTTAGCTGAGTGTTCGTTTATAATTCATGGTGTAGTATTACTACCCTATGTTGTTTTTTTATTATTATTATTATGATTACCGGTAGGCTACCTTACTCTTATTTAAATTCTTATTCACAAATGAAGCAGGTATAGCCCATGTTTATTTCCGAGATTACATTATTAGCAACTGTATTAGTAAGTGCAGGGGGGCTGCACCACACATAATTTACCCCCAAAAAAACCCCAAATATACGGACAAGACGTACTATTACGCAGAACTCACAAACAAACGCGCAATTCAAATAAAGTGAATGGATCCGGGAGCTAGCCGTAAGCGTTCACTGCGCTGTACAGTCCTGGGCCTGTAGTGACACAGACTTCACTCAAATTTGAAAAGAATCAGAGAAACCATTGTGTAATGTGGCAGACCTCGGATTTCGGAGTATCATTACCAATTTGATGAATAAATTCAACCATGATTTTCAGTTAGCCTGGTGCCCGAAGTGTTCAAATTTGTTTGATGGACTTCCGGGTCACTTTGCTAAATGCCAATTTGGCGGCCATCTTTAAAAATGGCCTCCGTTTTTTTATTGCAATTGAGCGCGTAAAGGAACCCTTCATAACTCTTTCACAGATTGACCTATTGATATGGAATATGGCTCTAAATGTTCGCAATAACATTATACAGCTACTGTTATATGACACATGTTGGTGAATGAATCATATATTTTCCAAATCAACAGATTATTCTGAAAAAAGCAACGTTTTGGCATTTTTTTCCAATATTTATTTTATAAGTTTACTACCAAATCATGTTTAGGGTAAATTTAGCCAAATTTTGTGTGTGGTCTTCTTAAGTTATTCATTTGGCATAAATAAATACGCTCAGTGACCCAGTCTGTACAGCTGCGGTGGCCGCAAACTCAATGAAAGTCTTGAGTAGACTGTCAATTTTAAAATGTTGAGCCTCGGCGAGGTAGGGTACTAACCATGTGAACGTTTATTTAGGGTTGTCGCAATCGCAACGATATTTGGGGACCGGTTGTTTCTGAGGATAAATTTGTCACTGAAGACGATTTTGATATTATGTCAGTTCTGTGACGTCATTTTCGGTTGAATCCGTCCGATTTCCAAACTGGCCGCCAAAATTTGACGAAAAATGAATTTCTTGTTAGGATGGATGAGTATCACGCAAGGTAACACTTGTGATATATCATATATAGGGTTTACGTAGTCATTGTACTTACAATTGATCTATAAAGTTAGTTTCCCAAAATCCAAGATGGCGAAAATTCAAAATGGCAGTCAAAATTTGCCTAAAATGATCGATGCCTCGGATAATCGTCATTTTACAGTTTGATATGCCCTGTATTATGCCGCTTAAGAAGTTTTCGATGTCGCAGAACTTAAATATAACCTCTAAAAAAAGACTTTCCAAAATCCAAGATGGCGGCAAGATTTTCCCTAAAATGAATGCTTTTTCAGATAATCGTCATTTTTCTGTTTTGTACGGCTTGTAATATGTCCTTTATGGGGTTTTCAGGATCACTAAACTTAAATATTACCTCAAAAATAGATTTTGGATTTCGTAGATGATTGCTTAAGAACAAAGCGGCTTGTCTTATTATAAAAATGAGTAGTAGTTTTTTTAGGGGAGGATGGAATTAATTATACTAGATCTCATAAATCAGAAAACAAGATTTAATATCATTCCAACAAAACTGTTTGGAATTTTAATATATCTTTACATGTATATCTAGTTGTTAAGAATTTACCTATTCTGTTCGTTCAGAAATAGGCCGAAATAGT